CCCGCTCGGCGGCTCCCGGCCCGGCACACAAAAACGGCGCAGCTCCGCGCCGGCCCCGCCCCCGCCGCCGGCCCCATTCACAAACCGCGCCGGGGGCGGAGCCCCGCTGTGCCCGCCCGCCAATCCGCGCTGGGGGGCGGAGCCGCGAGGGGGGAAGGGAGTGGGAGGAGCTCGCGCCGCGGGGAAAAAAGTTGGGAACAACTTTTCCCATCCCCGCCGGGCCGGGCCGGGCCGGGAGGAGCCGCCCGCGGCTCCCACCCCCCGCACTGCCCGGCACAGCCGGGAAGGAGCGGGGGGGCGGGGGGCCAGGCAGCTCGCTCAGGGTGGCCCGAGCAAACTAAAATTAACTGGCTGCTTTCTGAGCTGGCTTTGAAAACGCGAACAGCTGCCTGTGCCCGGAGTTATTAAGAAAGAAGAAAAAAAATAGAGTAAGGGAAAAAAAAAATCCCAAACCCAGCGCCCGGGTACATTTGCAGAATGATCCTATTGCGTAGTTGGGATGTTCGTGTCTGTGCGCCGTCGCTTCCCCAGCGTGGGGGGTTTGATTTGTTATCGCACCATGACCGTTGCTTTTTGCTGGCAGAATAAACGCTTTATTCACGCAGATATAAGCCCTAGCTGGGGGAAGGCAACTTTTTTTTAAATAGTCCAGTTTTACCTAAGCCAAGAGGAGAAATTTTAAATCCCCATTTGTACTGTGGCGATTCCTTAAGAGACTCAAACAGTGAAAAACCAGGAGCTCCTCTGTGAAAGCACTCTGCGTGCAGGAGGGAAAATGGCATGGGTGGGGGAGAACCCTGTTACTGGCCTGCTAGGCCAAGCAGATCTAGAACTAGACGCCAGCACCCATTTGCTAAGGACAAGAATGTGGGGTTCACAACATAGCTGTGTTTTGAGGTGCACTGCCAAAGCGCAGGGAGCTGGGACCATGCAGCCAGGGTGCAGGCAAAGCATGTCCACAGCAGCACAGAAGGGATGTGCTTCACAAAAGCTCTGCAACAAGGCCTGCTTCTGCTTCACTGGCCCATGAGAGTTTGTGCTCACAGACAGGCTTAAGCCAAGTATTATTCTACTTACCCCATCCTTCCCTTTGAGGACAGAGGTCCCTCTGAACTGCAGTACTCAAATTCTTACTTTTACTCCTTTGCTCGGGATTGTGCTTCTGTTAGCAGCTAAGCAAAGACACCAATCCTTACCATCCTTCAGGGCAGTTAAAGAGAGCAGGGCTTGGCTCAGGGAGCTCCAACAGCAATTGTTGAACAAATGTTTTCCATATCCTCTACTGCTCATGAGCAATGTGTCCTCATGCCAATAAGACCATAGTGTTGCAGCTCTTGTTACATTTCTTAAGAGAAGCTGACGGTTATAAACAGGCTTGCTAAAATAAATTTACTCCTCTTAATGGAGATGTTTTTAAAAATAATACTGTGAATATAAAAAAATATATATGGGAAGGACTATCTAGTCATGGCTGCAGCAGTTCCTTCTGGAAAATAAATGTCTTTTCTACTTTCTCAGTTAGTTGTTTGAGAGTGCCTTAGAGGAACTTCACTTTCACAATTTTTTAAGGATTTTTATCTAAATTCCTTGTTTTTCTACTCCTAGTAACTAAGAAGGTTTTTGTGATACTCTTCACCTAAATAACCACCCATGGGACAAATTTACATTAATCTGTCTACTCTCTTGTTTGGGTTTTGGCCCCTAATAGCTTTCAATAAAATTATTCTTTCCACAGTTTTGTTTCGGGGTTTTTTTGGGTTGGTTGGGGTTTTTGTTTTTGTTTTAGGTTTGGTTCTTTGTGTGTGTGTGTGTGTGTGTGTGTGTGTGCTGTGTGTGATTGTTTGGAGTTTTTTAATTTGGTTTGATTTGGTTTGTTTGGGGGGGAGCGGTCTGGGTTCCTCCTTTCCCCCGCTCCCCATTCTGTAATAATCACCTTAAAGCCTCCCTTTTTCACTTTGGCTTATATGACTGTCTTCATCTGCAAAGCACTTTGTGATATTCACTATGAAAAACATTGGATGACATGAGATGTTTCACTGGCAGGAAATGACAATGCAGAGAAGGTAAACCAACCTCAAACTTTTTGCCCCATGGATTGCTAATTCTGATTTCTGTATGTAAAGAAACAAGTTCAGAGCTGTTGTATAGCAAGAAACTCCCTCTTGGCAATGGGGAGACAGTGACAGGAACTATTCAGAGTTAGTCTGGTCAAATCAAGGGGCAGTGCTTGAGCTGGACATTTATTTAAAAGGGCAAATAGCATCAGTGGCTCCCCTAGTTTTCTACTGGTCCCATTTGTTAGAGTCATTCATCCAAACCATGGAATGAACAAAAAGATAAGTGGGATCTCTGATACATGCTGTAAAAGCATCCTTTATACTTAGGAATATAATGTAGAATCAAAGTGAAGCAGAAGCGGGGGGGAAAAAGTGAAAAGAAGAAAGGAAGAAGGATTATGTCCTAGATTATTTCTTAGGGAGAGAAGAGAGTAAATTTACCACTGTGGAATGATGCTGCTAGGTCATCCCAGATGGCAGGAATGTGCAACAGGATTTACTGAGATGGATGAAGAAAGTCTCTTGGTATGTTACCAAATTCTAAGATCTTTTTTCTATTTAGATCCACTGGGAGATGGGAAACAATCACTGAGAGAAGCAATGGCAGTTGCCTCAAAATAGCACACTGTGGTGTTAGAAAATCTCAGATTCCTAAATCAGTCTTAGACATCCTGACAGCTTTCAGGGGACAATCAAGAGAAGGAAAAGAAAGAAAAAAAAAAAAAGGAAAAAAAAAGCAGCAGCAAAATTCATGATTCTGGAACACAGGTTAGTCCAAGGAATCCAGAACCTCTGTAATTACCATCAGCTATAGTTCAAATGGCAGCCTGCAAAATTACTTAAATTTCCTCACAACAGGAGGGATCCTCATCAGCACAGTAAGCACAGCAGCCACGTTATCAGTCACCCACAACAAATGCACTGCACAAGACTTTGCAGCATCTGACAAGTTGTCTATTGCAACCACGGAGCTGTACCAAAGGTTTTCTGTAAAAATCTCCTAACTGCTAATGTTCTCACTGCATGGTCAGCATGGACACTCATGGACAGCAGTAAACCTTCACAAGCAAAGTCCTGGCAAATCCTAGATTCCAGAATAAATTGACAGTCTCCGGTGTTGATACAAGCTCTGGAGCTGCCTGACTAGACTGCTGTGCATAGGGAGGAATTGTTAGGAAGAAACAATTATCTGTCTTTTTACTAATTTAAAAATAAATCCAGTTCAACTTCCAAGCTAAAGGAAGCTAAGTCAAAGTGAGGAGTGGCATCCCTATGTGATGTCTTTTCTTGCTGTTTTAAAGCTGCCTTAGATGGTGCCAATATAATTTTCCTTGTTTCCTATCCCATCTGATAGAAAACTCTTCCCATAGGGGGAGGGAAATCAAAACAAAACACCCCCTCCCTGCCCCACCACTTTTTTTGAGTGCCTGAGGGAGAACATTTTCAGATTACCTGTTGCAAGGTTTTCAGTCCTCCCTGCCCTCAGAAGAACAAAGGTCACTGCTTCCCCCTTGTCCTTTCCACCCACAGAAACTTGCTGGACCTCACTTCACTTGATGTTCTGCTAACCAGCACTGCCAAAGTTCCCGTGCCACCGCCTGAGCTGTGAGATTTTCCCAGTTACTTTTAGTAGCTTTTATGACACTTTTAACTTCGACATTTTGAAGCATGCTTACATACAGCCTTACATGATCAGACAGGCTATTGAGCTAAGAACATCAAAATTTGCACTCCCTAAAGCTTAGTGGAGAAATGCCTGGAGCCTGGGGGGAAATTATGCATTTTCCTATTTTACATAATTATTTGCATAATTAGAAATAAAATAAGTTCACAGTATTATCTGCTTGCATTTCTATCAGTCTGATAGATTAGTCTAAATTGCATCTTGTCGGAACTCATCAAAGAAATACAGTCTTTCTGTAGTGAAGAGGGAGAGCCTTGTATTTCATGGGCAGGGAGTGGGAAAAGCAAACCCCTGCCCCCCACCACGGAACCCTGAATTTGAAATTAGATGGAAGAATTAAGAAACTGATTGAAAAGAGCATATGGGGAGGGCACAGGTGATAAAAGGAAGGGGATACTGCTGGAGGGGATGTGTCTTCCCACAGTGAGAAAGATAAAAGCTCCTTGCATCACAGATTTACAAAATAATTATTAGTTTATTAAGTAGTATCCGAAAGGATACAGGAAAGTAGCACAGTCTTCCACATTTATGGTCAAACTGGGGTAAACTTTAGAAAGCATTCACAAGGATGAGCTATCAGGCTGATGATTGCCTTTATCTTTAAGATCCATGAATAAGAAAA